AAATACTAGTCAAAAAACCCAAAAACAGAATAAAGGTGACATTAATATTTTTTAAAAAATTCAGAGATATGTGTCTTTTTATCAATAATAATAAAAAAAACTAACTAAAATCATTTAACAATAAAAATATATGCATCAAATTCATTTCATTCGTTCATGGTTTTGCCTAAAAAGAAAATGTAAGAAAAATACAACCTGTCTTCAATAACAGTTTTAGGGCTTGTTCTTCTGTATTTTTTTTCTCTTGTTCTTCACTCAAGCTTCGACCCATATTTTGCTTGTTTCTCGAGGAAAAAAAGAAAAGAAAGGAAAGGAAAGGAAAGCGTTTCCTTTCTGCAGTTTTACCTCCAAGCTTCACTCTGTAAAGCTTAGCCACTTTCTGTGTCGGCTGTCAAAGCTTGTTAGATTCTTTCCCTACAGCTTGAACTTGGGTATTTTCTTTCTCTCTCAAAACCTATGATTTAAAAGTTCCAGTTTTTTTGCTTGTTTCTCGAGACAAAAACTATACTTTCATTTCGTTTTTTCTTCTTATTTCATTTATCGAGTGCTGATTTGAAATCAGTATTTTTTTAACTTCAGTGTGGGTTTCATAATTTTGAACTTTTAGTTGGAGGGTAAAGAGTTCTAGATTACTTGATGGCTTGGTTGGTAAATAATTTTTCTTAAATGAAGGGAATGGTGCATATTAGGTGCAAGAAGTGAACTGGGTATTTTTGGCAGGAGAAAAAGCTTCCTAGTTGAGGCTATGCATTCATTTGCTGCAGAGGGTTGCTGAAAAAATGTAATAAGTTCTCTGCAAAGAACTGTCAGTCTTTGCTGTAGAAAAAAAGTGTGTTTAGGATCAGTTCTTAATTACTATACCAAAGATGGATTGCTAGATTTTGGCGGGGTTCTATTTTTTTTTTTCTTATTGCTCTAAGAACTTTTAGTTATTATTTTTCTCTGATAATGTAAGGTAAAAAAATATTGATTCTGAACTTGTTGAATGGAGTATAATCTCTATTATTATTGAATTATGAATGTATTGAATATGAGTATTTGGCTGCCTTGTCGGCATGTTAAGACGATTAGTTAATCGAGTGTCAGAAGCCTTACATAATTTTTAATGAAAAAATGTATAATTGTATGAACTATGAAGGCTGAATAACAATGGTAGGAATAGTAGACTAATGTAAAAACTTGTTTTATTGATTGTCGATCAATTTATTTGTCTTCCGAACAAACTATGATATCTGTATGAATCTTGGTACCTATTTAGTTTGGAACTGGTATTTGATTAGGTTATGCTGCTTGATTTTCATTTTCCATAATAATTTCACTTCTTTCTTCATCTTTTATATCTGAATAAGTCGTGCTTGATTTTATGTTGTAGTTTTGTTTTGGTTCTTCGCATTACATTTTGAATGAAGTTGGCTTAAGCTTAAACATGTCAATATTTTCTTCTTCTTTTTTCTCAGCGGTCTTCTGACTCTTGTTCTGATTTTGAGCAAGTTCATCCCTTGATAACTTGCACCACTTCATAAGCTTCTTAATTATCATTCAGAAATATCTTTTTCCATTCTCTTTAAAAATATACTGCTTAATTATTCCTTTGGTGAAAAAGGCTTTAACCTTACAACCCCCTTTTGAGTCATTATCTCGTCACACAGGTTTCAATTGAGATACATATCTGAAAACCCTTGTGGCCATCATTTTGTTTCCTCCTTTCAATATGTGTGTACTTCTTCCCTTGAATTCTTCTGGCCTCTGTGCCTTCTTCAGAATTGCTTTGCAAGCTTGTTTAAATAGATACATAAGATGCCGAGGCGAAATGAGCCCGAACAACCTGTTGAGTCTGATGAGAGGGTTGATCTCAAAGAAGTTAATGATCCAGAGGAGACCATGGAAGAAGAGGTGGAGTATGAAGAAGTGGAGGTAGAGGAGGAGGAGGAAATAGAAGAAGAGATGGAAGAAGAAGATCAGGATGTTGAAAATGCCGATGGGGAATTTGACGAGGATGAAAAGAAAACACGTGCTGAGCTTCTTGCTCGTCCTCCTCATGGTTCTGAAGTATATATTGGAGGCATTCCACATGATGTTTCTCAGGAGGATTTGAAAGGCTTTTGTGAATCTGTTGGAGAGGTTACTGAGGTACTTTTTTTTTTTGCTGAATGTGAGAAACTATTTTCCCTTTTTTGAGATTCAACACTGATGCATCATACTTTATGATGATAGGTTCGGATTATGAAAGGTAAAAATTCAAGTGAAAACAAGGGCTTTGCTTTTGTGACTTTTAGAAGGGTAGCATTGGCCAATAATGCCATGGATGAACTAAATAATGTGGAATTTAAGGTGACAAGTCTTCTTTTGCATCACTCATATGTTAATATTATCCAAACTAAAAAATGTTGCTGAAAGGCAACTTACAGATTATTTGTGTACCCATCTCCATTTTCTCTTTGTTTCAAACAAAAACATTCTTTGTTCTTATATTTGGTCGTCTCAGTTATATTTCTTTGGTTGCTGAGTAACTTTTCAGCTTCTTTCTCTTTCTCAGGGTAAAAAAATTAGGTGTTCTAATTCCCAATCAAAGCATCGATTGTTTATTGGTAATATTCCAAGAAGCTGGGGCGAGGAATACCTGAGGAACGTTGTGTCAAAGGTTGGGCCTGGAGTTACTGGTTTGGAATTAGTAAAGGTTAGTTCAATGGCCTTGTGTATTTGTGTTCTGGTCCCTAGTAGTTCAGGTGATTGATACTTGTGACCTCTGGGGGCTGTTCAGTGGTAACATCATCTTGTGTATTTGCCTTTTTGCCCACAGGATATAAAGAACTCAAGTAATAACAGGGGATTTGCTTTTGTTGAGTACTATAATAATGCATGTGCAGAGTATTCAAGGCAGAAGATGATGAACCCGGAATTCAGGCTCGGTGATAATGCTCCTACTGTGAGCTGGGCTGATCCTAAGAATTCCGAGTCTTCTGCTGCTTCTCAGGTATCATTAAGTTGCTCTCTTTCATGCATGTCTCTTTGGATGGTTTATTAATCTATTTCTTACGCTCTTATCTGTTGGTTCTCCCAAAATGAGGAATGTTGGTATGTTCCTTACTGTAATTTGTATTCGTTAATTTAAACCTATTTTATGTAGGTTAAGGTGGTTTACGTAAAGAATTTGCCAAAAGACGTGACACAAGATCAGTTAAAGAAGCTATTTGAACATCATGGAAAGATCACCAAAGTTGTTCTGCCTCCCGCAAAACCTGGACAAGAGAGAAATAGAATTGGTTTTGTTCACTTTGCAGAGAAATCTAGTGCCATGAAAGCAATCAAGAAAACAGAAAGATATGACTTGGATGGTGATTATTGAGTTCTTATCCATTTTATATTTTTGTTTAGTGGATGTAATTCCGAATGTTAATTGTCCTGTTTTCTTAGGTCAAGTTGTGGAATGTTCTTTTGCAAAGCCACAAGCAGATCAAAAGACATCGGGGGGGGTCAAATTCTCAGAATTCGGGTTTTCTCCCTAGTTATCCACCTCAGGTTGGGTATGGACTGGTTGGGGGTGCCTATGGTGCTTTAGGTCCAGGATACGGTGTTGCGGGCCTTCCACAGGTGAGATATTTGTCTGTGCATGTATAGGATCGTGTTAAGCAACTTCCATATCTTCATTTTCTTTCTATCTCTTCATTTTACCTAGTCGGAATATCGGGGATATCCCCACGACCATGAGCACCTTTGACACTATAATCTATGGCTAAAAGTTCCTCTACATGTTAAAACCGCAGTTCGGGATGCCTGTCTCTCTCGTTTGTTTTCGGTTTTATGTTAAAATGTACTAATTTTCTTCCTTTTTCAAGTGCCGATGGCTGCTTGAATGACATTAAATTTTCCGTGTTGATTTTGAAGTCAAGCAGTCTAGTGAAAGAAAATCTGATATAAAAAATTTACAGCCCTTAATCTATGGAAGGGGAGCAACGACTACCGGCATGTCAATGATGCCGATGCTTCTACCCGATGGTCGGATTGGATATGTTCTGTAAGTTCAGTAACTTTATTTTCTTTCCATGCAAAGCCAGATAGGTCCTTTTAACCCGTGACTAATAATGCAGGCAACAACCGGGAGCGCAACAACCTCAAAGCCCGCCTGTACATCAGAGACATAGTCGAGGTGGTGGCAGTTCAAGCAGCAGAGGAAAACACTGTGGCAGCGATAGCGGCAGGCGATATCGGCCATATTGATTTTTCTGGTATTAGAATGTATTATTTCAGCTTGTAGCATCCATAGATTGTTGATTTTTCAGCTAAATTGCGTAGTTTTCAAGCTGTGGTTGGTTTTCAAAAATATTTGCGTCTGAGTTTAACATGTTGGATCTGTATGACCTTGTTGATATTCATATTTTCGTGTTTAGAGGTGATTTCCCTAGTCTAGTCCCGGTTTGATCAAATGTGTATTGTTATAAATCAACATTTAGTTTTGATTTTGTTACATGGAATTTTAGTTTCATAAATTATCAATATAACATCTCTTTTTGTTTAAGAGCATAATATTTATCAAACAAATGAATACTTTTATTTTACGCCTAATTTATATAGATTTATCATTACCTAATTTATAAGGAATAGTAACCATTAAAAATGGTAAATTATTTATTTAATATCTCAATTATTAATTTTTTTTTTCTATTTAAACTTTTAATTTTTTTAACTTCATACTTAAACGTTTGGTTTTTGTTTTGTTTTAATATGATTTGCACGTTATAAGTAAATTGTAATATTCATCGTTACTCTAAACCTTAAACCTATCCTTATGAGGTATAGCATCATTTGATGTTATCAAATTATAGTTTTAACTTCTAATTTGCAAAGCGTTTTTAATTAAGAAAATGATTAATATCGTGTAAAAGAAACGAAAATTAACAAAATTTAAATCAATATATAAAAAAAAAGAGTTATAAATAGCAGAGATCACAAACCAAGCCGCCGCAAAGGACCGAAAATCTACACAAAGATATCGACATAGAGCTTCTATTTTCAATTTATCAGATAACTACAGCGGGGGAAAAATCCAAGAAAAGAGCGATTTGTCTTTGAAATTTTGAAATCAATGGTATTTTCAAGATACAATTCATCTCATTCCACGGCCCCGTCAGCACCAGAGCTGCCTCCAGAGTCCTACCACCAGCCGCCGCAGCAACAACATTACCAGAGCTACTACGGGCAGCCGCAGGCTCCGGTTTCTAGTCCGTCTTCAAGTTACGGGCAGAGGGGTGGGTTTCCAGCGGGAACACCGCCGGATGTTGTGAGAGCGTTTCAAATGGTGGATAAGGATAGAGGTGGATTCATCGATGAACATGAGTTGCAGCAGGCACTGTCTTCGGGTTACCAGAGGTTTAATCTTAGGACTATAAGGTTGCTCATGTTCTTGTTCAAGAATCCTTATGATGCCCTCAGAATTGGTAATTTAATTCCTTTATTTGCTTCATTATTGCTATAATTTCAGCAAGAACTTGAAGAACTTATCTGCATAAATGAGACTTGAATCCAAGATTTAATGGCTCTGTTGATTGAACTTTCATAGTGTTTTGTTTGCTTAATTGTTAAGCTATTAGATTCAAGTTTGAATTGGGATAAGGCATTTTTGGATAGTAATACTCATGTGATGATTGCAAAGTTGCAAACTAATGATTTTTCCCCTTTTATGGACCCATTCAATTAAATAATGGCCACTACTTTTTGCATTCAAGAGTTTGCTTTTTCAATTATCTTGATTAATATAGGGAAGTATTATGGAAAAAAAAAGGAAACGATGATGATCCAAAATTATTTAAGGATTTAGGTTGATTTCTATTATAGTTTTCAAAGTCATCCTCTCTTGTGTTTAAAAAAAATGGAAGCTAAAGTCGTCGGCAGCTTCTTTGGATTAAATGAACGAAAAAATAGATAGGGATTAAATTGAATGACTTTGGGACTGTGTGCCCAAAAAGGAACGCATGATGTGCAAGTTTTTTCCTTAAGATGCATGGGAGGACAACTTTATCGAAGTTTGTCGACATCCGAGGACGACTTTGATAATTATGATAAAAAAACAACACAATTCCCTAAATAATTTTATCCTATTAACATTTCCTTAAAAAATTTTCGTGATATATCCCTAAATAAGCCAATGATTCCTTCTGGTTCTTAGTTGTTAATCGGGAAATAGTCAAGTTACTCATCAAAGTTGGGAACTTACCATGTTCTAGTAAATTGAGTTTGGACAAGAAATTAGACATTGTTTAAATAGTTGTTCGGGTTTTGACTTCAACATTCAAAATCGAGTCTGATCCCTTTCATTTCAATTACGTAACATAGTATTTTTATTTGTTTATTTATTTATTATGTCATTTATATCATAGAAAGTAGAAACATCAAATATATATATGGTATCTAATCAAATGATTGTTGCTAAAATTTTCAATTTCAGGGCCTGCAGAGTTTGCTGCACTCTGGAGTTGCCTTGGTCATTGGCGGGTAAGTGATAAAACATTGCCTAAGATTGGATTTTGGTCTACATCTTCCATATATTTGCTTTGATTTTTCATTTACTTTACATATTCATATCTAACCCTCGTGTTTGACATATATCCGGGTGTATGTATGAAGATATAATCTTTGAAGAACCTTTCTAACCTGTATTGAACATACTCGTTACTTTTGGTGTTCTACAGGGATGCTTCAAAATTGAGAAGTTTTAAATATAATTCTTCAAAGGAAATTGGTTGTCTCTGGCTTGGACTGCACGAACCGATTCTTTGTAGTCATCACCAAAATTTTCTAAGATAGTTGTAGTTTCCACGAAACATAATTGGTGGATGTGAGTTTTAATGGGGTTTGGGCTGCAACATTGATTGCAATCAAGGTAGTATGAGGTTCGTTGGTATTTTGGATAATAGATGTAGAGTTAGTGACGTTTATAGTAAAAAAAATTAATGCTTTGATACCATGATAGAAGAATGAAAATTGATTTGATCTTATTGATTACTGCATAGCAGTTTATATACATAACAAAAGCGTACCAAACTCCTTCAAAAGTGAAGTAAATCTAAACAATAAAACAAATGGTGAAAATTCAAAAAGTAAAGAGAGAAATTTAAAAATCAAATGATTTGGATAACTGCATGATTGTAGGAAATCCTCTGTTATTTCATAACGACCACTCTTGGATACCAAAAGCCAAGGCATTCTGCACCTGTTCTTGAGAGAGGGGAACGAGCTGCCACATTTGATTTCTTAGGCCACAATGCACCAGTTATTGCGATGAAGTTTAATCACTCGATGTTCACAAGGAATTCCACCAATTCGCAGGAAGCGAAAGCCACTACCGTTGGTTGGGCAAATGGAGCTGCTAAGATCGGGGGGGGGGGGGGAGATCACAGTCATACAATGTCATTGCAATCGGGAGTCAGGACTGCACTGTAATTGTTTGGACTACTGCATGTCCTCAGCCACTAGTTGTAACCAAGCATTTCTTTGCTCAAAGTGTTACTGATTTATCCTGGTGAAAGTTTTCATTTCAGTGAAGATATATATTAATTGTAATCTATTTTCATTAACAGTAGCCCCGATGGCTATTCTCTCTTTGCTTGTTCATTGGATGGAACTGTGGCTACATTCCATTTTGAAGTGAAAGAACTTCGCCACAAGCAAAGTGACGTTGAACTTGATGAGTTAAAGAGAAGTCGTTATGCTGATGTCAGAGGTTGACGGGCAAATTTGGCGAAGAGCCAGACACGATTATTGCTTGGAGCTTCTTCAACCAAGCAAACCGCTAGCAAGAAAGTAGCTTTGGATTTTCAGCAGAACCAGAAACCTGTAAAGTCCTCTCTTGGGTTAGGGGTGCCAAACAAAAGTTCCAAGCCTAAGAATAATGATAGAAAGACGAGCGGACTTTCTTCTAGTGATGGATTAAATAAAACGGTGACACCTGCCCGGGTTTCTAGTCCTGTGAAACAAAGAGAATACAGAAGAGCTGATGGTAGAAACTAGAAAGAGAATCATTCCTCAATCTGTTGGTGCTCCTATCGAGCAGGAGAATATTTGTGGCAGTGCCTAATCTCAAGCATTAGTTTTCCCATTGCATCTTCCGATCCCAGAAAAAATGATAACGGCATAGTTCCAACTGATGGTAGTTTAAGAGAAGCTCCTATCAGGGAGACTGTTGGCAGAAGTTTTGATTTAAAGGAATGCTCAGGGGTCACTGCTTGGGCTACTGTTACTGACAGTCTGGTTATTGAGAAAGTTACTGCCGGGTAAGATCATAGCATCATTGTAGAACCGCCCGTAATCATGCAGCCTTCCGGTTCCACAGTTAGTTCTACCAAATATTTTTCAATTAGGGTATCTGACAAGAAAGAAGGGGACGATATGACTCCAGTTTGCCTGGAAGCTTGTCCAAGGGAACATGCTGTGAATGACATTGTTGGCGTGGGAAATGCATATATGACGAAGGACACAGAAATCGTGGGCACAAGAGGGGCTCAAACACTTTGGTCTGCTTGTATCTCACGAAAAGCCTCTGTTTTGGCTGGAAATGCGAACTAGTGGGCTGTTGGATGTGAAGATGGGTGTCTACAGGTAAGAAAGAACACTTTATTCTAGGCAGGTAGAATTTATGTTTCATTATCCTCCTAATGTGTGTTCCGGAAAATAGCAATTAATAGTATGATGAGAGTCTGTAATTTGTCTGGCAAATGTGCTTTAGTCCTTTTTGCTTATGTTTTTTAAGGTTTATACAAAGTGTGGAAGACGCTCTGTACCGACCATGATGATGGGATCTGCAGCAACTTTAATAGATTGTGATGAGAGCTGGAAAAATTATTGATCTCGAGGAAAGGATCTTTATATTTATGGGATATCTTCAACAGGGATTGTCTCCTTCATGATTCATTGGAATCTCTAATCACATTGGACCACAAGTCGTCTACAAAAGGTACAAGTACTTGATATATTTCGAGCCTTCTTCATTGGGTCTTAGAAGAATTGTTTCGTAATCGTGGTACTTGATTGACAAATTATAATGTCTTGTTCATTTGGGATGTTAAACTTATAAACACTTTTTAAACTATTTTCAGGCACAATAAAAGTAATATCCGCCAAGTTATCAAAATCTGGTTTTCCTCTCGTTGTTTTGGCGACTCGGCATGCGTATCTCTTTGACATGAGTCTCACGTGTTGGTGCTCTTCCCCTTTTGTTACTTGCATATCTCTAGCAAGGTATTCGGTGCATATATTTTCTCTTGGTTATCAGGACACTATCATAATTGACAAACTATACGTTCTCATGTGTTCGTAGAAAAGCAGATGAGTTTCGATTTGTGCATGTTTTCTCGGACTACCACCAACTGCAATGGCTTCAGATGCCAAGAATCCTGGCTTGGCATTGAATCAACTGATCAAGTAAATGGAGCCCCGATAAGTGAAGACGTTCTTGGTTCATGAAGTTGACATTCTCATTAATGCAAAATACTAACAAATGGTTGATATTTGAGCATTTTCGGATTGATGCTTGAAACTGGACTATCTGATGTATCTTTTTTTTCTTCTTCATTTTTTTTAATCTTCTCTGTGCATTTAACTGTAGAATTTCACTAGTTGAGAGTTTTTCTGGATAGAAATAATTAACCTCTGTACAGTCGAGTTTGATATTATTAGAATCCTTCTTTACAAGTGTTCCTATTCTGAAGTTTTGGTTATTGGATTTTCCTTTTTTAGATTAAGGTTTTTCCATGTCCAGCATCGACTTAACCCGAGTTTAAAAATATTTATACGAATTCGTTATAGAGGCCTAATTAAAAAGCTGATTTAGATTAGATTAGATTAGATTCAATTCAATTTAATATAAAATTTTATGATAAAAATGACAGTGCTTCCAACTCAATGATGTTAGGTATGTTGAAGTATTAGGTTTGGACACAATTGTGTTCATATTCTTATTTAAGACAATCAGATACTTGTTGTTTACCCAATGCCTCTATTCCTTCACCAATATGAAGGATGAACTAAGCTTGTTACCCAAGAAAACAACTTGATCTGGATCGAATCAAGTTTAGTTGGTAGATATTAAATTTTATCTAAATCTATTAATATCTTTTCAGATTATTATTTTTAAAATTTATATTCTTGAACTCTTGATATAACTTTTCATTCCTTACAAAACTTTAAAAAAATAATTTATTGTCGGTATGTAAGGAGTTGGTAAAGATCAACCGCTAAAAAATTTACACTATAATGTCATTTATTGTTTATATGATACAAATATAAAATAAATAACACGAACTATATTATTTTAATGACTAATAGAATTTTTATTATTTATAGAGGTTTTGGGTTCGAGCACTAACGATTGTAGCAACGATGATTGAGTGCTCATTGTCAAATGATTGAAAATATTTATAAAATATATTACTTTATAATCATCTTAACTTAATCAATTATATATATATATATATATTGAGAAATAACTAGACCAAATTAGATTGGATCTCAACTCGAATTATTGGAATTAAAATATGAATTTTATTTTAATTAATGTTTTTTTTTTGTTGAACGCCTCTTTCTTAAAAAAATATAATAACAAGCAATACATATATATAACTACAATTAAAATTAATTAGTACAATGTATAAATAAAATAATAAATACAATCAATGCATTCATATAACCAAAACTAAAATCAATCATTATCAAATTAATAAACAAATAAATGAAATGTATTCTAAGAGAAATGCATACATATTGAAATTAAAATTAAAATCAATATAAATTGAAAATTTACACATGATATATACTCATGATAAAACTCAAACATAGACATTTGAGGTTTTATGTTATTTATTACATGTATATATTACACATGCAATAAATAATATGCCACCGGGATTCATTGAAGTTCTATAACAGTTCATTTCATTCACCTTACTCTTAAGATTGCAACTTTAAGAACAAAAAGGTCATTTTTCCTTTCTAATTTTTCTCTTATTGTTTTGACTCTCTCGTATTATGTCGTTTTACAGTATCAAAACAATCATTTTTACTCTTTAAAGACTCATCGCACATAGACCTTTACTCATAGCGATATACAATTCTTCGTCCAAATTAAAATAGATGAATCACAAAATCATCGCAACCATTATCTTCATACGCACTAATTATACTCGATAAAACTCTAATATGAACACTTAAGACGAAACCTAACCATAACTTAGTAAGCACATTTTTTGTCCAAAATCTTTTAGCCTATTAATGAACCAATCTTCAAGTTGAACTATTAACCTAAACTCTAAACCCTAAACATTAAGTGTCTTGGTCTCGATTGACGCCATGGAAAATGGTTAGATTCGTGTTTGGCTGTTTTTTTGAAGAAATAAAAAATTATCTATTCTATTGATAAATTATAACCAAAATTAGAAGAAATGGACTTAAGATTACAGGACACCAATCGTCACGTTTTTGACAAACATAAAGTATGCTTAATTTGACTTTTGATTGGTCTTTTCCCATGAGACGTGTTTCTTCCTCTTGTCAACAAAATCCCAGAAGCAAAAGGCAAATATTAGTTTATCAATTATTATCTAATCTATATTTTTTAGTCCGATTCTAAAATTTTATAATATGACTCGTTTGACGAAGAAATAAATCTAAAGAGAAAAAAAATGAGATTTGTAGCGAGTACAGAGGTTTTCGAGTTATTATGTCTTTATAACGGTATTATTATATAAAAAACACCATTAATTATTTTTTCTAAAACCACTCCTTAGCAGATTTATTAGAAAAATATCCTTAAAACTGCACACGTAGGACTAACTCATGTCCTATCAAGGGTGAGG